CCCATGAAAGGAAGAGTAAATGAAGGAAAACTGTAGACACATGTAAAGCATTAGTCCAGCGGATTAATGAGGCACGTGAACCCAGTCTCAACAGCTTTGAGCAAGAGGAATGAGATTATGCCTACTTAGCCAACTGCTTTGAAAGTGATCTCATTAGAAATCCAGAGTATACACGGTGGGAAATGTGAAAGAAACTCAAAATCTTAAAAGTGCAAAGTTTACTTGTTGATAGAGATGGGAGGATCACCAAGATTATGAACTTTTGTCACTCATCAGCCTAGAACGAAACTCAAATTTGTGGCTCAATTGTCAGACAAATAATAGGCAGATATCTATAAAGTGAATAGTATTAATAGAGAAGTAAACACTTCTTAGAATAAGCAACCATGTGAGATTAAAAAAAGGCAATATTTGCCTAAGGGCAAAGTTCAGTAGGCAGAAGGGTTTACGAAAGAAAAATGGATGAAAGCAGGGAAACATAGGGAGGGAGGGGATAAGTGATACTACATAACGGGGATCAAATTCAAGGATACAAGACACAATTTATGAGTTGATAAGCATATTTACTAATAACACAGGTTACAAATAGCTAAAAATGAATAGGTGAAAAAAAGTCATTTAGGAAACTGCAACAAGAAATATACAGTTACGTAAATGTTATTTTGGTTCCTAACTTTAGCTAAAGTGAAGTAACGATTTTGTGAGTGCATTAGAAGATTCTCGGGCAGACAGCTCTATTAAAACTGCCACTGTGACCAAAGCTAGGAGAGGACAACTTCAGAGCAATACCATTCTAAACGGAAGGAGAAAATCCTACTGAAGCTCTGAAACTTAAACTGATGGGAGGAATGGTTATAAAAACATATTCTTCTAATACAAAATTGTGTATCGCACAAGTAGAAGTATAAAGTATTATCTAACAATACAAAGTAAGGAAAATAGGTTTAGGTAGCTGTATTTGACACTAGCATACAAAGAAGAGAGTCCCTCTGAGACGAGAAAGGAGGGCGCTCTGCCACACACTTCTACATGGTAGACTCGTAGAAGAGAGAGAAACGGTGCTTTTATTTCGATCAGAATGAAATAGGAATTCAAAATGGGGCAAATTTTCCAATGGAAGGGAAAAATATATATGTATGTATTTCTAAAGTACATGTACCACTTTCTCTGCCCCAACCCACTCACAACACCCCCACCACTCACCAAAAACAATGGATAGCAAAAGGGATAACATTTATATTTATGTCTGTATCAAAAATGAGACTCAAAGAAATAAAGAAAGAAGAGAGCTATGCACATTTATAAAATCTCTTTTCTTTTTAGAAGTTGAATTAATATTTTAGAAGACTATCTTCATCTATATTACATATAGAAATATACATGCATACAAACACACACAAACATGACAGGTACCTGAAATCGCTGTAAATATCGAGTGTGAAAAGGAGCCCTAGTAGCACTGTCTGGTAAGCGTTTGATTGCTGACTGAAAGGCTGGTGATTTAAAATCTGTGGAAGAAACATGAGGCTGTCTCCTCCTAACCTCCTATAACAATGGTTCTCAACCTGTGGGTCGCGATCCCTTTGGGGATTGAAGGACCTTTTCATAGGGGTCGCCCAATTCATAACAGTAGCAAAATTACAGTTATGAAGTAGCAATGAAAATAATTTTATGGTAGGGGGATCACCACAACATGAGGAACTGTATTAAAGGGTCGCGGCATTAGGAAGATTGAGAATCACAGTCCTATAAGGATATGAAAACCTTGGAAGCCCTCTATAGGGTCACTGTAAGTTAGAATCAGTTCCATAATACTTGAGTTTTGGGTTTCATACACATGAAAGTTGAGTTCTCTCAGAACTCTAGAGCCTGAGTGTTGCCAACAGTTAACACATTCGTCGGTAAGCAAAAGGATGGCGTTGTGAGTTCACCTAGAGGTTCCTCAGAAGAAAGGCCTGGCCATCTACTTCTGAAAAGGTAGCCCCTAGAAAACTTATAAAGCATGACTTTACTCTGGCGTCACATATGGGGTCTCTGTAAATCACAGTCAACTCAAATAGGTTATTTTAATAACGAAAAGTTGGAATATTTAAATTAAAAAGTAATTCTATAAAGTGGACTCAAGGTGGGAACTTTTTAATCTCTGAGAAAGTTCACATCTTTCTGGCAAGCTTCCGGCCCCTTAAATATCTGTCTTAGACACTCCCTTTGCACTGCAGTGTAATTCATCAGCTCCCTGCTCTAACCACTGATGCTGTGACCAATTCCTTGCAACCAAGTAATGCCTCACTTCAGTCAGACCTAGTATCTGTAGCTTCATGCCTAACTCCATGGCAAGGGACACCCCCAGCAACTAATTTTACATTCATGCCTACACAACTAGGGGGAATATTATTTTATCCCCTTGAGAAGACAGTTCTGGGATGCATCGTATAAAGCTTTTTAGTTGGTCCCGTCGAGGTTGGCCACCAGTCTCTGGGGGTGGTGTGCAACAGGCTCAGAATCCCTTGCATTAGATTTTCATCGATTCCTGTTTTACTCTTTTTTCTTGTACTCTCGCTCCATAGATAATATTTCTAAAAAACCAGCCCCAAACCCAGCCTTTGTCTGAGGCAGGTGGTTTTGGGGGAGGAAACTGGGTTTAACCTCTCCTATCCATACTAAAAATATTTTACTCCCGTGCCTCAGTGTTGAATTTGAGGTACTATTTCCCAGGAAATTTATTAGATCTTGTTTCCTTATATAATATTATTATGCAAAATTATAATAAATTATATAATTACTCATTTATTTATTTTAAAACTCAAGACCTTTTCAAGGTCCAAGTTCTCCAAATAGAAGAGATAACAATAGGGAAATTGACCCTGGATCATTTTATCTTCCAAATACCAAACAAAAAGTGGATCAACTTTGACCAAGAAAGCAAACATTTAAAACATATCTAGCCTTAAAATGAAAAAGAATTAATATTGGTGTTACCTGTTGTACTTCCAACAGATCAACAAGGGAAAACACATTTCCATTCCACAGTAAAAAAAATGACCATAGATTAATAAAACTTTTGAAAATATGCGTAATCAAGAAAGGACAGGCAAAGTAAGACTTTCCTTTCCATGTTTTCTAAGATTTTCTCCAGTTCCCACAGAAAATACCCAAAGACAATTTTCCCAATATCTACTATGCTCGGCTACAAATAAGCATTCGCTTCATGGTTTTAGTTTAAAAATTACTTTTAACTTTGACAACAATCTCACCAATAAAGTAAATATAAACTAAATACAGGCAACAGGTAGGTAATATTTTAAAGCACATGGACTCCAAGATACTACACTTTAATCCCACTGGAATTAGATGGAAAAAAGAGAGTCACCTTCACATCCCAGTGAAAAGCTACTCTGTACTATCACAGCACCTTAGAGTGAGTGCCTTAAAATTCTTTCAGAATCTGATACATATTTGTCAATTAAAGTAGTGATCTCATTAACACTTGCTGGGGCTTTTTCCCTATTCATTCTGATGGATGAAATATTAGAATTTCAGCTAGGCAGTACTCTCTTCCTCTACCATTATTTCTCCAGCATCTTACTTGGTGTCTGGTTTTCTAGTTAGAGCAAAAGCACCTCTTAGTCAATGATCAAAGATTGTATTTCTCCTCCTGTACGATGGGTTCTTTGCTTCAAGAAGCTCTGAAATATCCACCATTCTCAGCCTATATAATTGAGTTGTTGAGCTTACTTTAAGCCTCTATTTATAGACTTAAAGCTGGCACTGCACTAAAAAAAATGTGTACTACACTGTAGCTGGTACTGCACTCTAAAAAAGTTTGACTTCTTTTTCTGTAATTTCAATAGTCTAAAATTCTTCTTTAAATACTAGCGATCTTGCCTACAGAATAGGTGTATTTTTCAATGAATTATGTCTTTATTATTTTATTTCTATAAAATAATGGAAAGCTCAAGAATCTTTCTGGGTTGAAACATCATATATCTTTCAAGTTTTACCCCTTTAGTTCAATTCATCACCGAGAAAGCATAAATAGTATTCCTTTAGCTTAATGTATTCCCGTGTGTGGGCCCAGGATCCGAGTTCCACACTAGGCCCTGAATGTGTTTGGTGTCTCTATGTGGAGACCCTAAAAAAATGACCTTGCACAGGTTTATAACAAAATAACTGTGATATAAAATTGACCTTTGTAACTATGACCATTGAAAATTTGCATAATCATTTCATTGCAACAGAATATATTCAAATGCTAAAAATGGTCAAGACCAGCAGGAGAATAGTCTCTAAGTGTTCTTACAAGAATGAATGAATCTCGAAGTCCATATACCTTTTACATTTTGAACTTCCATCTCTCCTTTTCCCTTGAAGTGTCTCAGAATTGGAGATATTGCTTTCTTTACAAATTCCCCCAAGCCTACAAGGAAGCATCAAGTCCTTTTGTTCACATGTAAGGCTTCTACAGAGTGACTGTAAATTACATTTTGAAGTTACCTCATCCTCCCTAACTGCTCTTCTCCACAAACAATCCGTAGCTCCCATTCTCCTTTAAAACCCAAAAAGAAATACACATATGCCTTGTGATTGTGCGCTGACATAATAAGCAGTACTGCACACTCACTGCCTTGACCGTGGACAAGTTTCATTTGTTCTTAATTATTCTCCACATGGAAACACCCTATCCCATCTTCCATTAGTTGCGTGTATATTTTTCAACATGTATATATATAAAATGTCCATAATCACTGTATTGGGTATGGAGAGTAGCTATCATTAATGCCATTTCATAGGGGATTTGCCTTGTTTTTAAACTAGCAAGACCAATAAGGAGTCCTGTCTTAGTCTCGCTGTTCAAGGGTAAACTTCTTTGGCAGATAATCTGTCGATATGACATATATCTAACTCTAATCAATTTCATCAGCAGCTGAATATATTTAGCATTCATTCCTCATATCCACCACTGCTAGAATATCAGATAGGTTCCTGACTAGCACCAATGGTTATGGGTCCTTCCTTCGCCACCTATATTTGGTTATTTTTTCTCGAAACTCCTTGGTTTTTACTCCATAAACGATAGGATTGAGCATTGGTGGGATGAGGAAGTAGAGGTTGCCAAGAATGGTGTGGACATGGGGTGGAATTCCTCGGCCAAAGCGGTGAGTTAGAAAAGAGAAAAGTGAGGGTGTGTAAGAGATAAGCATGACACATATGTGTGTGGTGCAGGTATTGACTGCTTTGTGGTGGGCTTCTTTAGAAGAGAGTCGCATGATAGCCTGGATGATTAGCACATAAGATGAGCCAATAGCAGAGAGGTCCAGCCCAACCACCAACATGGCCACGGCCAGACCATACATTCGGTTGACTGTGGTGTCCACACACACCATCTTCACCACAGCCATGTGCTCACAGTAGGTGGTGGGTATGACACGATGGGCATGAAAAGTCATTCCCTGGAGTAGGATTGGCATGGGGAGAATGAAGAGAACAGCTCTCACCAAACTCACCAGGCCAATAAGCCCAATGCGACTGTTGGAAAGGATAGTGGCGTAGCGTAGGGGTTCACAAATAGCCACGTAGCGGTCAAAGGCCATAGTCATCAGGACAGCAGACTGCATGACAGAGATGGAGTGGATGAAAAACAGTTGAACCAGACAACCCACATAGCTTATCTCACTCTGGCCAAACCAGAAGATGCACAGCACTTTAGGGACGGTGGTGGTGGACATGCCCAGGTCGGTGAGGGCCAACATGCAGAGGAGCAGGAACATGGGCTTGTGCAAGGAACGCTCTGTGGAGATGATGAAGAGGATGGTGCTGTTTCCAAGAACAGTCAGGAAGTACAAGGATGAGAAGGGGATGGAGATCCATTTGTGTTTGTCCTCCATTCCAGGAATGCCTTGGAGAATGAAGAAAGTAGGATGGCCCTGGGTGACATTGCAAGCAGTCATGGTGGTACCCTAGTTCAATTAAGAGGAGCAATATAAAGAAATTACATGAACTTCAATTTTTTTTTTCAGTAAGAGTAACCACATGGAAAAGTAAAGTTGAAATGTTAAGATAAATGATTCTGAATCAGGATTAGATTAGGGTTAATGTTAGAAATTAGACTCACACTAGATTTAGATCTTGGTTTAATGTATAGTTTCATGTTAGAGTTGGGGCTAGCATTAAGCTTAGCCAAATGTTAGCCAAAGTAAAAATCTTACATGAGATCACCATTATAAAAATCCAAAAGATTTTCACAATAAAATAAATATTCTTTGAGGGTGTCCAATGTTGGGAAGAGACAGGAGGGTGAATCAACCAAAGCAGTGGTCCTCAACCTTCCTCATGCTACGGCCCTTTCATGCAGCTCCTCATGTTGTGGTGACCCCCCAACCATAACATTATTTTCATTGCTACTTCATAACTGTCATTTTGCTGCTGTTATGAATCGGGCAATACCTGTGAAAGGGTCGTTTGACCCCCAAAGGGGTTGCGACCCATAGGTTGAGAACCGCTGAACTAGAGGATAGGCACATTAACTTGAATGAGGGTAAATGTGATATATGTTAAGAGGGTGTTTCATAAACAGTGATGAAGACAAAGGAATTCAAGAGTTAAAGGCAACAAAAGTGAATACTATCATATACATAGCCTAAAATAATGGTTAATGAGTGGATGCATGTATAGCTAGACAGGAAGCTAAGCAGGTGTAGCAAGGAAAATGGAATGACATTTATATATTTACCTAAGCTGTAAAAATAGAGCATTTGGGGGGCAGTTGTGCAAACTTCTTATGCTTAACCAAACGCCTTGAGGGATTAGTCACTGAGACAGGGGACTGGGGCCCATAATCTCAGGAGCAGCAGGGTCAGTTGGAATAACATAGTCCACAAAGATGACGGCCTAAATCCTGCTTTGATGAGTAATGACTGGGATCGTGAAAGCTTGTGAACAATCATATAAGGTACACTATCGGTCCTTCCGCATCTGGGGCAAAGAAGAGGGAAGAAAACATTTAAAAACAAAAAACACCCTGGAAAAAATGCAGTGGATTAATGGGCTCCATGAACCTCGTGTGCCTCATTGTGAGGGCACAATTCTGATACAAGAACTGGATGGTGCCTCACTACCACTAATGACCACTTTAAATGGATCACATTAGGTCTTGGATAACAAGGGAGAAAATGAGGAACAAAACCCAAAATCATAACAAAGGACCAGGCTTACTTGTTGGATCAAGACTGGTAGAACTCCCAAAACTAAGGCCCGTATCATCCTTTGATTGTCAGTCAAATAATAGGTAGGCTTATAAGGTGAACAATTATATTAAGGAGGTAAACATTTCTTAGAATTATTAACAATGTAAGACAAAAGGGCAACATTTTTCCAAGGAGAAATTTCAGACGGCAGAAAGGTAGAATGTAAGTAGGGAAACACAGAGAGTAATTGGTGTAAGTGATAATATATCATGGGGATCACAATTAATGACATGAAGTAAAACATGTATGAATTGTTGGATGAAATATTTCATCTGTAAACTTTCACCAATTCACCTTTATAGGAGTAGAAATTCTCTTTACCCTGTTGAGCTGCTGAGGGATTCAAATTGCTGAGTTTGTGCTCAACATGTAACCCACTATGCTATCAAGGTGCCTCAACACACAATAAAAAGTTGCAAAACAACAATCTGAAATCATAGTTAAAATCTGGAAAAACAGTGAGTTAGTTAATTGTGCCAGCCTGGCCGATAATCACATGTGGGGGCTAATTGAAAGGTGGAGGGATAAATGGGTGGTGAAGCCTCGCCTTTCTAGTTCTCGGGTCTCTTGCTTTGTGATGGTCGCACCAGGGTGCAGCTGCCTTAGCAGCTCCTTGCTTCAGCTTGCAAGATTGACTTCCTACAAGACATCCCCCAGGAGAAGCCACATGGACATATCCTGATGCAGCCCTGGGTGCTGGAGCAGCAATGTGGAGGGAGACGCCTGCTAGTGCTGAGATGCTTGTTCGTTCACTGACTCAGCTTTCCTCCTGGAGTCAGCATCATTGCCTCTGTTTTGTGAGGTGGAGGACTTTGTGGACTGGTGTTGGGTTAATGGGTTAATGTTGGACTTGTGGGCTTGGGCAGCATTGGGTTGGGATGTTTTCGTGATGCAAATTTTCTTTACATAAAACTCTCTCTTATACATGAGTTGCTGTGGATTTGTTTCTCCAAAGTACCCAGACTGACACAAACAGCATTTCCTTACAACACAAATCCAGATCTATTCCAGGCCATATTTAGTCAGAAAAACATAGTAAAGCAAAATTTACCTCCATACCATTGTAAGAAATATATATGTTTTCCTTTTTCTTCATTTATTCAACTTGTATTTTTAAGCTCACTCTAAGACTTATAAACAATCCACTAAAATTCAGTCATAAGTTCTGGAGCATTCCTATTTCCCCTTTTCAAAAAGATTATTATTTTGGAGTTAATACATATGTCATGTCATTCAATAGTTCAGTCATGTCAATATTTTTTATCTAAGGGTTGAGACTAAAGAGTTTATGGAGAAAAAGGTATAGCATAAAATATCCAGCTACAAAGAAGCTTAGATAGCAATATTAATATTTAACAGGATGTATTTCTAATGAATGTTTCATACAGAGAAAACTACCTAATTATTCATTAATAAAATATAGCTTCAAATATGTGACATATTAAATATGGATTTGTATTCACTTAAAGAACACAATTTTAAACCTGTGAAACAAAAATAAAAGGAGAAAGTGCCAAATTTTAACATAACTCTCTGAGGAACCAAATGATCAAATAATCAAGGAGAGAGTTTATAAAAAGATAACTACGGTTTTGAATTTTGCATAGAATTAAATGTTTATAGTAGAATTCAGCATTGACAAGTGAAAGAATACATTTGTAGCAGATATATAACTTTAGCAGAAAATAGAGTAATATTAACACCCAAACTCATTGTTATCCAAGACGTTCCCACAAAATGAATCTCATAGAGTTCATTTTATCTTCCAGTAACAAAGTGGGGCAGGAATAGGCAGTAAGTGGATGTTGGTAATATTTACATGAAATGGTTTTTGCAATTAATTTTATTGAATTGTAAACATGAAAAGAGTGAATTGACAAGTGTTGTGCTCTTCATATTTTTACAATAAACAAATAAAGACTAAGAAAATAAAGAAGACTAGTCAAACTGAAACATTTCTTTTGATCTAAGAAAAATGAATTTTTAAAAAGAAAGATTTGCAATGTACTCTAGTTTCAGCATAATACCCACAACTATCCCACATTCTAATTACAGTAATACAACTATGTGAATATACATGTTTTATGAAAACAGCCCCTGGTGGACCTGAGGAGGATGCCTAACAGATTATTTTAAGAATAAACAAATTGCCTTATCTTACAAATAAAATAGGTATATCTATGGACAGAAAGTAACGGGAATGAAAGGTGGTGAATCTGCCTCCCTGTTCCAACACCATCCAGTTATGTATACTGGGAAGCCATTCTGATGTTCCCTCTAAGCTCTTTTGATATAATGTGCTATGCAGTACTATATTCAAGTGTTTATGTTCTCCCCCAGCCCTATCCCATTAGCATTAAAAATTAAAATAAAATCCAGAGCTGCTGGGCAATAGTTTTGCCCACACCAATTTAAATCCTTGCTACCCTAACTCTACTCCACAGGAGAAAGATGAGGCTTTCTACTCCTGGGAAGAGTTACAGTCTCAGAAACCCGCCGAGGCAGTTCTACCCTGCCCCATGGGGTCACTCTTATTTGGAATGGATTTGATGGCAGTGAGAGAGACCTTCAACTCCTGTATCTGAAGGTCTTCTTTCAAGATAGCATGGCCACTTCCTAGATGTTAAAGAGCCCCTGGGTCCGGTCAGTGTGACTACAATCTAATAGATGTGTCGCACATATCTCACAAAGCTTCCATATGAAAGTTCTATGCACATGAGAATAGAATTGGAGAGAAAAACAAGAGGATTCCTGGGGAAGGGAAGCAGGGAGCACCAAATGCATATTCGCCCCTGACATGGAATGTCAATGAAGACTGACCTAAAGAGAAGGATCGTGTGCTCTTCTGTGCCTGTGGTTTCATGAGGGAAGGGCATTGAGAAGCAAGGAGAGCGGTGTCCTTACTGTAGAAAGACTCTCATTATGATATTCGAAGTAATATTACTCTTTTACTCATCAAATACATTGAGTCTGCCATCAATACCTGTTTTATTTTGTTTTACTTTGAGTTAATCACTTGCTCTGCCTCGATGCCCTTCCCCTCCTAAAATGTACATACCCTGGGGAGGAGAAGTTGATGCCAGGCATCGATAAGTCACTGGAAAAGCCTTCCTCACTTTCTCCAAAGAAGAATGCTAAAAATCAAGACCTAAGAGAAGGTAGACCCTGTTGATGAGAACTGTACAACCTGGGTGAGAAGGAAGAAGGTGACAGGATGCTGGACACCTGAAGTCCCAAGGGAAGGACAATGGGATGCCACCATAAAGCCCACAACCACTTACCTGAAAGTGGGACAATAAGAAAATGGGAGGCTGAATACAGACACCTTCTGCAAATGTGTCTGTGTGAGTACGTACACATGTATGTAGATATATCTTAACAGACATCCATATGGATTGTTCAGAGTATCCTCATGGACCGACATCTCTCCACTCCTCTCACCTTTGGGCACATAGACTCCATGGTAAAGCCCCTTAAGTAACCTAATAAAAGGTCCCCATGGTAGACAGATTTAGGTCTTTGAATTCCCATCTCACCCCTAAAAGTCCCACTACTATTACATATAAAATTTCCCTGGGGGTTTCATTGAACTCCCAAGGGATGGAATAGGTTGACTTTGGAGATTCTGGGAACATTCCACTGTGTGATGGTCCTGAAGGAGTTTACAGAGAACAGTGAAGCTAAAACTGAATCTGGAATTGAGA